AATTCGAATTGTCATAATGTGTATTCACCACCCTTATGTATAGTACTTCATACAGTGTTATTTTAGGTTAATCATAAACAACTATATTTTTCTTATTTGCAGGTTAATCTATATATTTAGTTAAATTATATGAATTTATATCGGATTTTAGTGCGTCGCATTGAATGCTGTGAATCGCGTGAGTGTCCAATGTTATCAGATTTGTTCGGGCATGCAACAAGGCTACTGGTTGCAGGCCAATAAATAAACAGATCCGCTCATCCCGGAATGCGGATATATTTTGATTTATTCCAATATTGCGTAAATTCAATTAGTAAACATTTTAAGAAAGGAATCGCTTAATGTATAGTTTGTCCACAATAATTATTTGATGCAACCTGTTACATAAATTACACATTATAATATGAATTTTAATATATATTTAATGTTGCAATAAAATAATTCTGGCAAGTTATAAATGAATTTCTTTTAATGTCATAGAGTTACAAAACAATAGACGTTTATTAATAAATAGGTTATAAACAACCTAATAAATTAGTTAGGCACATTTGTATCCAAATGACAGTTCTATTTTATCGTAACGCGTTGATTCGTGAGCAAAGTGTACGAAGGTACAGTCACGATAAACAATAACTTTGTACATGATAAATGTAGTGAGATGGATTTATGGCTTAGTTATTTTTGTAGTTTTTTATTATTATATCCCATTCGCAAGCACTATTACCGGTGATTTATGCTGCTATGTAGACAATTACTAACAAACGAAATGTTGGAGAAAATTCGAATCTACCTACATTATGAACGTTTGTTTTAGGTCGCTCCTTGTTCATTTAGAAGTTTTTTATTAAGATTAAAGAATCGATATGTTTTGGTAAAATTATCACGATTATTAAAGATCTGCCGGATAGACATTTAAAGCCGAAGAATAATCTATGAAATTGTAGCTTCTACAATCTCAATTGAAAAGGGAGTAAATTATTAGCACTTTACGCAAACCACTGGTAACTTTCACTCTTAACTAACAAGACCAACATACTTCAAATATTAAAGCAATTTACCTGGAATTAGGTTAATTTAAATTGCCCGTAATGGACGGTAAATCAATAATAACGAACCGCAAATTACTTTAACGGGTAAAAGAGATGGAGTTTACTAATATTGTACCTCTAGAAAAGGAAATTTTGGCAGCTACATTGTCGGCTACACGAGATGTGCCTTTGGGTTATTATATCACTACCTACTCAGTGCCGAACTGAAAATAATCAAAACTTTGCTCATAAAAATCCAAAACAAAAATGCATTATTCATACTCGCCTCTCCGCGTATCATTCCACCAGCATACGTTGAACCCGCCTACGCGGCCCATGATACTAAAATAATTCGATACAATACACATTAAAAGGATAGTCACGGATCCAGTTAGAGTGGATAAGCACAATGAAACTCGAGAGGACATCGCGAGTATGAAACTGTCTGAAAATACATAAATATTGTATTTAGGGGATGAGAATCAGACGGGAATAAAGTTGATTAATGTGTAACGCTAGTTTCTGTGCGATATATATTACAAAACTTTCCAATTATTATATGTTTTATATGTTGAAGTACAAACAATGTAATACGCAACAAAAAAGTAAAACTTAAATACAGATTCGAAAACCTTAAATATAATTATAGATTACAGCTTTTTACTTTTCAAAGTTTCAATGTGGAACTGTATAAGATGCATATAAGATTTGGTAGCAAAATAAATAAAGAAAGCACGGCGGCGGTAGTTCGGAAGCGCAACGGTATCAATATTCTAAATTCGCCGGCACGTCCGCTGGCGTCTGCATTGCCGGTCTTGGCGCGGATTTATTCGAACTCTATCAAAGAAAAAGTTGTAGCTCGCTGGCAACCCGCTAGGCGCCGTGACACCCCCCAGCATTATAAAGGAGCATGCACACTAGAACTGACAATAAAATTGTCTTTTTATTTTGAGTTAATTATAATCTTAAAACCGTTTTAAAGCCAAAACCTTTTAATTACTAGGTATGATAAGAGTGGCCTAATAAAGCTAAGCGTAAGTAGGTAACATTTCATTGTGTCTATTTTGTCTCTAAAAAACTTAATCTTATTATCTCTTACCGATTTCTACTCTGAAGCAATGTAGCAAATCATAATTTTACTACATCGATTTTCTATAGCAAATTTTACTTTGATATATGAAGTTCGGTTAGTGTATATGTACTTTTACACCTTAACTTAGTATTCTGGCATGCATGCAGCTGTTTAATACACTGTCAATTGCAACGTTGCCATTTGTCGCTTTAAGTGCCCCCCACTCGCATTTTTCAAATGGAAGACACTATTCATACCGTTGCATCTTATATTATGAAGATTTCGCGTGATAATGAATCTTCAATATACAAATTTAGGTACTTAAATTATAATAAATAACTGGAAAGATCTTAAAGAAATTTTAGTACTTATTTGTATTTAAAAGGTCTCAAGAACCGTACCGCGTTGCCAAAGAATAGTATTTACAAAAAGAATCTTTATAAAAATGACTATATTTGTGATTATCACCATTTATTCATGATCCGTAATTGTTTGCGACATAAAAGTTAGATGAAACATAATTACATGATAATAATCGAAAAAAATTAGATTTCAAATTGTCAAGGTTTAATATAATCCCTAGAATTAAAAAAACATAATTAGTAGCCTATGTGTTCTTACACACGATGTTTTAGACGTATGCCAAATTTCATCGATATCCGTTCAGCCGTTTTGGAGATAACTTCAAACAAACATCCATCAATCTATGCAAACATTCGCATATAATATTAGTAATATTAATTGATTATAACAAAGTAACAATTTTACGATTTCTATAATATATATTGTTTTTTTAACATAAATACAAAAGAAATAGCGACTACAAGTTACTATGCATAATCTACTCGTCAGTATTTTTTAATCGGTCCACAAACTTGGTAAACATGTTTACCCGAGATATTCGGGCTGTAATTCTATCCACTTGTCTGTATTTCCACATACAGACGGCAAGGACACAAAATCTAGCTAGAAATACATCTCTGATGATAAAATGCGGAGATACATTGTATGCATTTTAACATTACGAGTGTTGTTTATAGTCTGTGTTGCAATTCGCTAGATTTTTTTATTATATTTATTGTCGCTCTGCGCTGTGAACTTTAGATATTTTTCGTTTTAGTAGATTTCAGTTCATTTTGAACGTTGTTGGCTGAATTTACATATAACAATGTTATTCCTCTATCCCTAATGTATAAAATTGTAAATATTCTGTTTTGTATTTTTTTTTATGTTTGAAATATTTAGTTGACTCGGTTAGTGTACGTAATAATAAAAAATAACCTACTAAATAAATATGTTTATTTTCAAATCCGTGATCATTAGGCACTTCTAGTAAATATTTTGCAATGTAACTTTGTCCACCATGCGATGTATTCGAGTCGTTTCTCTACGGGAATATATTAGTTTTTGGTAGTTCTTTTCATGAGCTCCACTGAATGCGGCCTGTAACATTCATCTCGCTTCGTCGACGGATTTTTATTGGTTTTTAACGCGAATAATATTTGCCTCAACCGTATTTATGTAATGATGCTACGTTACTATACTTTTATTAGCGTGCAAGCGAATTTAGACTACAAAAATTATTTATACGCTAATCGTTGAAAACCTCATTAGTTTCAAACAGAAACTAAAATAATATAATAAGTTTTAGAACATCAATACATTTACTAATTACCATTGCAACAAACATTTGAAACGTAGAATAACCTCGCCAAAATGAAACCTTAATTATATAACACAATTTTCATTTAAATACATTAAACAGTAAAGATTATTCACATAATTAATAATTAGAATAGCATAAACAATTAAACAGTTTGTACAAGAACCACCGGCCGGTCTGAACAAATGTGTGTCGTTTAGTTCAGAAATTGTTGGCACTAAGGCGGTTGGTTTACGGCACTTTAATGTCCCTAGCGGGGCGGGCGACCATCATCGGCCCTTAAACCTCGCCACAACTTGTAAACTAACACCTCAGTCATTCCAAACTTGTTACACTATTACAACAACGTATTGGTGTAAGACCGCAAAAATACACCAACAAATATAATGGAATAATATCAATGTAAACAAAGATTGTAGGTTATGTATAAATTAGCTCATGACGTATACAATTATCATATACAAAACTAAATGTTTGCTACTTACCTTCAAGACCGCAAGTCTTCATTGTCCTATAGAAAATTTGCTTCACAAAAAGAAGTGCATTGGAAACAACTAAAGTCACTAACAATTTCACTTTGAATAACAACACAATACCGAAAATCAGACATGAATTTAAAACATTTGCAATATGGACACATTTCATTGCACACATAATCTGTTTTATTTCACAACGAATAATCGATTTCGAGTTTTCCAAATTAATGGAATATATATTTAAGCCCGCTTTAATCATTTTATTTACGAAAATCACTTTTTACGACGCGTTTTAAAACATGACGTTTTCAAAAAAACCGTACGAAATGACAAGCTTGCGCAGCTGTCAAATAAGTACGCCGCGAACGCCATCTATTGGAAGTTTTCCGAAGTAAGGAAAATTTAATTATTTTGTAAAGAAAATAGTTTATATAAAATTAAATAATTATAAATAATTAAGTTGCACAAAGGTTTTCTAAATCATTTTATTATTTTAGATTTTATTACCTAATTTTAAAAAAATATAAGGAAATATTTTTTTAAATTCATTTTCGATTTTTTTCAGTATTTTTAATCTGCAATATGAAATGTATTTATAAAATATAGTTTTATTTTATTATCTATAAATAATGAACGATATTGTCAAGTGATTTCAGTTCACCTTCAGTTAGTAATTTGAAAATGTATTGAAAATAAAATGAAATTGTTTAAAAATAAGGAACAAATGGAATAGAAGGTAGTTAATTATATCGTCAGTCGTCTCATCGTAAAAATAGTGGTGGTGGTTAAAAGTGATTCTAATGAAAAATGTAGTGATAGTGTCGTTTAGTAAATTTCTCAAATTGATATAAGTGCGTGTTATCAATATGTGTGTGCTCGTGTGTTGTGTTATAATGTGGTTATTGTGTGTGTTGTGTTCATCGGGTTAATTACTATATTGAAGAGGTAAGCGAAACTAAACTGACCAGCGTCATTTATGACAAACGCCATCGTACCGTCATCACAAAATATGTATTAAAATTTATGCAGCGCCCCCTATCGGGCGTAAAGTACACTACTCATATTAGTCTTATACTAATGTTACTAATATCTTACTTCCTACTAATATTATAAATGCGAATGTTTAGATGGATGGATGTTCTTTTGAAGATATTTCCACAACGGCTGAACGGATCTCGCTGAAATTTGCTGTACATATAGGACATAGTATGGAAGAACACATAGGCTATTAATTATGTTTTTTTTAGTTTGTGACGGAGTCGCGGGCTACCGCTAGTTTTTATATAATTGACTGTTGTTGTGAGTTTTTACTGGAAAAGAAAATCATGAGCGACGAACGTCTCAAGAAACATTTAGTATTCTGTCCATATTTTTGTTTCGTCGTATATTACAAAAGACTTTGCCGCTTTATTAAGATTCTTAGAACATAATAATTTATAGTACATTGCGCCCAGGCTGACTTGACTCGGATTAAATTGTCGTAGTTTAGATAATTGTCGAGGTTCTATATATAGAGGATGATTTAAATGATGTACAATTTTTATTTACAGATGGATTCTTTTCTTCGTCAACGTAAGAGGCGTAACAGCGTTCGGTAAGTGCTTACTATTTTAAATTTTCAGGGATTTTTTTTACTCTATAATAGACTTTATGTGTACATACTAACAGATAAAATGGCGGAAAACAATAGGTAAGTAAACAAATACTTGAATTTATGTTATGCATGTCACATCTGAACTGATTACGACGTATTTCATTATTTTTAAACGGTTTTATTTCACTCGTTTGATTTTTAAACATCCTGTATAACAGACATGATCAATTTTCAAGTCAGCTAATTTGGACGGCGCCGAGCCTTGGATAGTTCCATACACCATTTTTATTCACCAATTGTACCTCTGGATATCACTTTAAATAGAACGATTACGTGACTTATTCGACACAAAACTATTTGTCACTTTTCTTGCAAAGTTTAAGTGATTCAACAAATGAACCTGTAAAGAAAAAAATACATACGCGTTTAAAATTATCAATGTAAATTATAAGTAGCATTCTATAAAAATATCTTTAATCTAGCTCATTTTCTATCCGACGACCTATGTATATGTAAAAGATTTTGGAAAAAAAAATATGTTGGTTAATATGTTTTTTTACTTCTATGATTCCGGAGAAACATTTTGTTTTCAATATCAACTAAGTTGGAATGAGATATCAAGTAGTGTGTACTTAGTGACAACCAGTTTCGCGTACCACCCACTCGTTTGTTTCAACTGTGCTCAGGTTACAACAATGATTTACTTCTCAATCCGCTCATGTTCGTTTACAAATGCATTTGTTACCAATGCTGCAAATGCACTTTATTGTCGACAAATTGTATTTATCATAGGAAATACGAATATTATAAAACGTGACTATTGGGGTAATATTAGATTTTTTAATGTACTTACCGTGAGTTTCTCACACCTAAATCTCTATATAAAACATCGTCGTCCTTATCATTATCTTTGACACCGCAGAGATAGCAATATGTTTTAAACGGAGATTTTGAACTGAGAAACCCACGGTTAGATGTTATATATTCTTGCTTTGTTAAGATTACAAATATTTAAGGAGCTACTGACATGGAAATTACTTTCTTCTGATTACAATAACCTTCAGATTTTTTTTCCGTTATCTTTTTCGTATATATATATATTTTTTAATTTGTACAGTGTATAATAATGAAAATCATGCCATCGAACGGGACACCGGTGTCCGTTTAAAAAATACTCAACAACATTTGCGTATAAATAAATATGGAATTCGTAGGGAGATTTATGTTTGGAAACCCCAGCCGTGGCGTTTGTAATTGTCTCCTACATTTAGGACAAAAGGGACAATGCGCTTTGTTATTATTCGAAACCTCAACTGGATTTATTTATTACATTTATGATTTATTACGTAATTTGTATTATCATTTAATATATAGTGTAAGTGTATCGAATGCGATTGTGAAGTTTATTTTTTTTAATATAATAACGTAAGTGTTTGGTTATCATAAGTTATTCCATGTTCCATGAAGACGACAAATAGGAATCCAATAGTAGTTTATTATTGAAATAAATGTACGAAAAATTTCAAGGTCTTTTAAAAAGATAAGATCTTTGTTTTATTACAATTAAGTGTGACTAGGCCAAATTTTGCTATCAAATTGTTGCCGTTCATTTCTAGCTCACAACAGACTAATTAACAAAAGAGTATTTAAAAAAATTAAATGATACAATTTCAGTTAATTAGCGGCATGTAGAGTGCAGACCTTATAAATAAGTTTTTAGAGCATAATTTTATAGTACATCATCTCTGAAGCGGGACATGCAAATTGCGAGCGTTGAAAAAATAAAACATGATTGCGTTTTTATACAGAGAGCCGACGGAACGCCGGAGGCATTTACGTGCGGCTCGTGTCACACCTTGTTAATTTTAACTATTTTATTTTTTAATTATCTTCAAGATACAGATAATAAATTCTTTGTTCGACTAATGTTTTCTATTTGCAAATATCTAAAGATAAGCTCTAATATCTCTGTTAATGTTTCAAGACATTTTATGGTCTTGTTTTACAAAAGTTTATTAGAGAAATTATTTCTTAGAGAAATCAGAGAATGGTATTTGCACACTGTTATATAGCAAACAGAATAATTGTACAGAGTTATGCTTTTCCTTAAGTACTTCATCAACATTAACGGTTTATTTTGAATGTATGATAATTTTATAGGATTTTGACAATATTTATTTTAGCGGCCATTTGCAATTTGCTAAATTGAAAACTAACTGATGTCAGAAGTTAATGACAATTACTATTATAATGTGTTAAAAGTGTAAGTGAGTGTTATGTTCCAATGTTACACGAGGGTTGATTTGGATAGAATGATTCTCTCTATCTTGTAATCTTCCGATAATTCCAATATCCATCGTTAAAGATAGACATATTTTTAGATTCTGCTATTCTTTTTTAGCCTAGTAGCTTAATAGGTAATTATTTCAGTAGTATTAATCTGTTTTTTGAAGTAAAAGTTCTACCACTGTTAACAAAGGTAATATTGTGTATACGAGTTTTGGTTACAATGTTAATGATGTTATTCTTTGTCCTGAACTTTTTATTTCAAACAAAATAGTTAGCATGAAAGTATATAAAACAACATTTAGAAATGGGGACAATTACTTTGAAATTGTCGTATAAAAACTCTCCTCTGTCCAAAATGAACACACACGCCAGCGTCGCACAAATTACACTTTGATTTGCAGCTAATGAGAAAAATGGCCCCGATCCTCCGCCTCCGAATAAAAAATTGGAGTCCTCAGTAAGCCGGCAAGACGCATAGCCCTGAACGTGTCTGGTAAGGTAATTAGTGGAGATACTAATTTACATTTGTATTCAAAATTCGAGCGCCGGCTCCCGTTCCCAGTCGTCTGTTTATTCTCATCTCTTCGCCTTTTTTTTCCTCTAAAACGTACCGCATTGCTGTATTTTTCGCGTAAAATAACGCAGTCGACTTACTAACGAATGTTACCAGAATTTTGTCGGCTCTGTTTTAGAGAGATGATAATTATTCATGAATGTAACAAATTAAGTTGTACATAAATTTGAAATTTTTGGTTAACAGTGAATGTTCTCAAAGAAGATTATTTTGAAACAAATGACTTGATCTAATTATCTTTTCAAATCAATATTTCGATCCCTCCGAGGAATAAAGTTACATGTTATATGGAAGGTTAGATTTTATTGGCTTTAACATTGTTGAACAAATAGTAAGATTACTTTTAACTAATAAGCTCTTCTAAATAGTAAATACATCGGATCAAATGAGCCTTATCTTTCAAAACATCGATAGATGCGTAAATATTATGAGTAAACAAAATGAAGCATATTTTAATATAGCTTAAAAATTGAACATGAATTACGATCGAGTACACAACACACCGTAATAAATGTTCGAAAATAATACGAAACGAAGCGTTAATGAAAGCACGTAAAATCCATTTGGCATTTTCATTTCAATTTTATTTAATTAAAGCTTACGTTCAGTAGGCGAATAATAGCGTATTTACGTGCTGTTTATCAAATAGTTTTTAATGTTTTATCTAATTTAGATACAACTGAAAATAGTTCACAAATATTACCTGTTTACTTAACACTTTTGTTATTTATACCATTTAATACGTATAGTTTTAAAGTAACAAATACAGGCTAATTGTTTTATAAATACATTAAATTTAGTAACTGCATTCAGCCTTCCGAAATATTGACATGGAAGCATGTTGTATTAGTTTCAGAGAGATATATTGTTATATGGAATTTCAATAGTTAACTTATAAACAACAAATTTGAAGTTAAAATATATCAAGCCAGGATTTCATTGAAATTATTCATAACTATCTAATATGATCTGCAGCCGACATGCACGTCAAATTGGAATGTTTGTATATTTAATAGCCAGATGATCAATTATTCTGTAAACGAATGTACCAACATGACATGTCAAGGCGATCGGCATGAGCAATTGCGAAGCTCGTACCTTCCTAATGTACTGTCAATCATCGCTCTTCCCGCGCTACCAGCGGCATACAAACAAGTTTTTTGTTCGCAAACGTTTAGCTGAATACCAAGTCGATAGTGACTCACGTCCTTCGGCAAACAATTGTTATAATATTAATTCGTCTTTTGTTTACATTTAATAGATAAAATCATTCCATAATGAGGTTTCAAGATTACTATACGAATACGAATACTTATGGTAGTGTTTATAACCTAAAGCGCAGCTTTTACCGCTCTATATCTTTATGTGTAATGAAGTATACTCTTAAAAATAAGTATATTGTTCTTGTCCCCGAAAGTAAAATCAGCAATTGTTATCACGTTGGATAAAAATGATAGAGCGTCGGTGGCTCAGGGGTCAAGCACTTGACTTGCAATCTGCAGGTCCTGGGTTCGAATCCCGCCATGTACCAATGTGTTTTTCGATTTCCGATTTACGTATGTACATTTATCCGACGTTCTTACGGTGAAGGAAAACATCGTGATGCAACCTGCACATATCTGAGAAGAAATTCAAAGATATGTGTGAAGTCAACCAACCCGCATTGGGCCAGCGTGGTTGACTATGGCCTAATCACCCTCAACTTAGGGTAGGCTCCGAGCCCTTCGGTGGAGACGTATAGTGAGCTGATGATGATGGATAAAAATGATATCAATACGGGTAGGTACTGTGATTAGTCAATTATTTAGCTGATTTTATAATATATCATAAGCCGAGAAGAAAAAAATGCAGAATTTATTGCAGTTAGCTTATTTATAGTATAATTGATGCAGTATACTTTGAGGTTTTGAGACCAAAATCTCTGTATAAAACATTTCCTCATCCCTGTTATTATTTTTAACAAAACAGATATAGCAATATGTATTAAACGAAGATTTCAATCTTAAAATTCACGATTAGATCTTAGGATATAAAACAAACACTAATTTAATCTACATTCTAGACTAGATTAACCTTAATCGTGTTAATCGAAGGGAGATAACAGCTATTTATGGAGTAGATTAATATCTCAAAGCAA